GTAGGTGAGGTCATGGCCAGAGGAGGGTTAGGGCTGGACTCTCCAAGGCCCAGGACTGAGACTCCTCTCACCCCTGGAAGGCAGCCTGTAAGTCTATAATGGTGTTGAAAATGCTGACTCAAGCCACACAGGTCTGAATTCTGAATCCATTATTTATTAGCTAAGAGATATTGAGGACATTATCAATGCCTCTTTTTAGTTTGCTTGCCTCTAAGATGGGAATAAAAGTAAATAACTGTACATAGCTCAGAGGGTTTTTGGCATTAAAGGATATATCATATTTTCATATCGTGTCAGTTTTTGCAATCTAAATAAAATTCAGTTTTAAAACTGACACCTAAGGTAAAGAATCAGGATTACTTTTCAAACTTAATAATTAGCAACAAAAATACTTATCACAGAATTTTTTAAAGCAAAATAAGCTAAAAAAAATAAGATTAAAGAATACTAAGTCTTAGCTTTTAATATTTGCTAAAGATTTGCCTGCAAGGTTGAGATTTCTTTTCTGAGTGAACTGGGAAAGCAGAAACAAATGTCTTTTATGGTTTAACCCACTTTTAAAGGAGAACTCTTATTTCCCCAAGTTCAAATTCTAGTGAGGATTATAACTGATTAGGACTTCCTTAGCTGCCCAATTTTAAATTGCTCTCTATTGTTCTCACACTTCCATGGAGTCATTTACTCCAAATACTTTATCAAGACCTACTGTGTGCCAGGCAGTGAAGACACAACAAAAGTCTGTTTCTCTCCTCAGGAGGTCACAGATGGGTGTGGAGACAGGACAATAGCAACGCACCACAGAGTTAGCTATGGGGAGCTCTGGAAAGGAGTTACAAAGAGCCTGCAGATGATGGGAAGCCATGGAAGTATTCTGAGTGAAAAAGGAAATGTGGACAAAGATTTGAAATGAAGGAGACTGCTTAGGAGTTCATGTAATGAAGTATACTTCGGGCTGTTCAAATATCATCTCTTCCACTTACTAGATGGGTGATGTGGGTCAAGGCATTTATCAACCCTGGGCTTCAGTCTCCTCATTTCCAAAATAGAAACTATAATTCTACCTCTCTTATAGTGTCATTATGGAGATGGGGTGAAAAATTGAAAGTTTGGTTTGAATGCCTGAGGGTTGACTTTGCTTTTAGATGCACAATGGAGATGTTGAACAGTTTGCCGTACCCTCTGGAGATGGGATAAGAGGTCAGGACTAGAGATATATATCTGGGAGGTGTCAGTATAGAAAGTATTTAAGACCCAAGCCTGGATCAGCCCATCTGACTCAGTATATATCAAGAAGAGAAGTTCTGAGGACTGAGTCCTCTGCCATTCCTACATTTGGAAGTTGAGAAATGAGGAAGAATCAACACCAGAGATGGAGAAGGAGCTTAAACTGAGAGACTGTGGGCTCAGCCAACAAGTACTCCCAAGGAGGGCATGGTCAATAGTGTCAGCTCATTGACAAATGACAGGTCAAGCAGGAAGAAGAATTGGCCACCAGATCTGGCAATGGGGAGGTCACCTTGATCTGAACAGAGTGAAACTGCAGAGGCGCTAAAGAAAAGGCTGCTGGCAACACATTCAAAGAGAGGGTGAGGGGAAGAACTGTGATAAGGGCTATGGAAAACTCTTTCAAGAACATATAGCAAAAGGAGAATGAGAAATGGTAGATGAGAGATTTTGCAGCATATACAGACATTACTTTAGATGATCCAGTGAAGGGAAGAAAAAACTGATAATGCAAGTCTCTTAAAAATGAAACTTTCACAGAGTCTGCCTGCTGTGATACCATTAGGATAAGGCAATCAATGTGTGTCGGGGGTTGTAGATTTATTCATGCTATTTTTTTCCTTCTTCATTTACAAATATTTTAAAATAAAATGAAGAAGAGTTTGTTTCAAAATATTTAGTTGTGTGAAAGGGAGAAATTGGGTGGGATGGAACATAAATGAAAGAAGTTGATTTTGAATTGATAGTTAGTGAGGTCTGGTGGATAAAGAGCATATAGTGGTTCCTTATCCCATTCTTTCTACTCTTGTCTGTGTTTGAAAATTTTCATGATATAATGTCAAAAATGGGTTACAATTATCATAGGGTCAATATCATTTTTAACCCAAAAGAATCCATTAAGGGGTAAGATTTCAGATAATTGATGATGGAGAAGAAGCTACTTTAGGACATAGGAATTTTTCTGGCATTTTTCAAACTATATCAGCTACTTTGCTTTCATATCCAGGGTAGGCACTGATGACTTTTCAATGATCAGAAAATGTCTCAGTTGCTTTAAGATAGAATTAATTTAGATGTTTATTATGAAAATAATTTGGAAAACTGAACTTTTTGGAATGCTATTTTTATTATCTTAAATATCTGATCACTTTTAGCTAAGCATAAAGAATTCTGAGAACATTTATGATATGCAATACGGTATGAAGAAAAGTAATGCTATGGTCTGAAAGACAACACTAACCCAATTGACAATTATTGAAAAGAATAAATAGTTGGTAGTTGACACATAGAAGGTGAAATTTCACTGGAATAACAGTTACCACTTAAAAAAAAAAAGAAATTGTGATTTCTGAAATTTGTTATGTAAAGATTATATATGAAGATTGCTATATAAAAATGTAGGTACAAAATTCTTAATCTTTTAAAATAAGCAAATATGGAAATAACAGTGTTCAAATATTCTTCAAATATTAACCACTAAGTATTCCTTATGTTTTCCAGTTACTCATTAACCATTTTATAGCATCATTGTTTCTCTAACTTTAGGTAATTTCCACCAGGGACAGTTAAAAAACAAACTCCAATAATTTTTTTCTACATTAGAAATCTTTGGATTTTATTAATAACATCCACCCCCCATACTATATATTCATTATTAAAAGTCCACTATGTAGTGAAACCTACAAATTCTACTTCAAAAATTAAACCCAAAGTTATATTGTTCTTGTATAGTTGACAGTGTCTTTTGTATGGCTTTATTGCCCTCAACATTTTCTTGGTGTAAACTACTGAGCAAGAGAACAAGATTTCCTTTGTAACTGATACCTAAATTTCTATTCTGCTTTAAGCATCTAATTTGCACTGTAAAGACATATAATTTGAGACCTGTAGCTATATCACAAAAGTATAACAGTTTACGCTGATCTCTAATTTTCTGAGTTTACTGGCTATAATTTAAATTTTTTGCATGTTTTTAACTGCCATGCAAATCAGTATACATCAGAAACCTTTGTATATTGACAGAGGCTGGGAAAAGGATGCCTTGTTCTCATTTCAGATGAGCACCCCCTTTTCAGGTCTGCAGGTGCAAGGGGCCCATTCATAGTATTTCCTTAAAATCAGATTTAGACACTGGATAGAAATACAATGCTATTTCATAAGAACTTGACTAATCCTTAGAAGTATAATGAATATTAAAAATATTACTATTAGTAGCAAATTCTACAGGCAAGTAGGACTTTTTCCTTTGCCTATGTATTGGATTGGGAACAAAATATTCTTGTTGCCCAAATAATGGTCATTTTACTAGTGTGTGTGTTTATCAAATTCAGAAAAACACTGTATTACTTATTGAACCAGTATGAAATTATGCTCAGTGGAAAATGTGCTACAACAAATGCATGTTCCATTTAAGAGATAACTGATAATGAATGTTACTTTTTCCTCTGCCTTAAGTTTCACTTGTTTTGAAATCAACATGTAAGCCAAAAAAAAAAAAAACCCACAAAATTAAAATTTACTCTAATTGCCTCCATTTCACATAATCAGGTAAACTTCCTCCAAACAAGTATAGACAACTATATATGCAACAATTAAGTGAAGTTAACTGGATGTTTCCATTACAAGTCTTATTTGTAAGGTTATGACTTGACTGTTTTAATTAGCTTTGAGCAGTAACTTGGCACATCAACTCAAAGCATAGGAGTAAATTTTAGTCTACAAAACAATTATAACTATAAACTAAACTTTCTTTGAGCCCAAAAGGTCACAGAAAGGCTCTAAAAGAAGTACTCTGTGACCAAATAGAGCAAAAGTGAAAATAATAATCATTTTAAAAAGTATGGCAATAGTCATTGCCTTGGGAAACATACATGTTTGGCACGTATTGAAAACCAGTAAGAACTCATCCTAAATTAATTATTAGTGCTATTACCTTTTTAAAATAGTTTTCCAATAATCTAATGCTATCACCTTACATTTGAATTTGATTCCATAAATCAAAAGTCTCCAAACACCTTCTCATATGCTATTTGACTTGAACATTCCTTTGCGATTTAGGGACGATGAATATTATTATCCTCATTTATAAGGATAACGATCATGAGAACAATGAATTTTATAAAGAGGTAACCTCTCCTTTTCAAGGTAACTCCGACATAAGTGGCTTGCCTGTACTGAAGGTTGTCAATCCTGGTCCAGGGTTCTAATTCTTTGTCTCAGTTATTGTTCTCAGTGAGGGATCAATTAAATTGGAAAGCTTTTTAAAGGAAAAGCTGAAAGGACGGTGACTTAAAGCTTGACCATTCCTCGAGTGTGTTTGATCCATTCACACTGAGCAATAATAATAGAAACACAATTTGTATGCTACTGTCCTTTTCTTTTGTGAACTCAAAAATGGATAACCAACTTATCCTCAGCCTAGAATCAAAGACAAGTTAGTCGCCAGTGAAACCAAATGCTAGAAAGATGGGGAGTACACTGTACAAATGATGTCCTCAAGAAGGGACCTGGACCCCTGTGAGTTCTGTGAACACGATCCCCTCTGATCCAAACTTCCATCCTATTCCTGCTTTCCCAGCACCCGGAGGAACACACAGTGTCTTTATCTTATCATAGTTATTGCTGTCATTCCAGGGTGGAAATGCTTGACACCTGGCCTGGCGGCCGCCAGCGACGGAGGACGCCACCACACACCCACAACTTACCTGGTCGGGATGCTCTCCGTGCCAGCCCGAGACCTTAGGAAAGAGAAGAAAACAAAACAGAACACAACTTACCACCTTGGCCCAGTCCAAAGACAAGTGAGCACACCCAGGCCGCCCGGAGGAAGGTGGCAGGACTTCGCCGACGGCTCTGCAGGCAGACAAATGCAGCGGTAAAAGAAGCCAGGGCCGAGCCGCACATACTGCACAGCGCCCGCCCCGCGCCCGCCGCCTGGCTGCTCTCCGGACGCGCACTCGCGCCTCCCGGGCGCACCTCGGGGCCCGCGGGCCGAGGGTCGCTAGGACGTTTCCCGCAGGCCCGGCAGGCAGACCCCGCGGTTCGGAGCGAGCGGTGCAGGTACGCGGGCCCGGGCCCCGCTCGGCATCTCAGGGCCCCCGTGGCCCTCCCAGCTTGGCGCGGCGGGTCCCGCGGGCTACGCTGGAGGCACCTCCTTCGACGGCGACGGGAGCGAGGGCTCCGCAGCCGGCTCCGGGACAAAGAAAAGAGCTTTTGTTTCTCTCCAGCCGGTGGGGCTTCTGCTGCATAAATCAGCTTAGCGAAGAGCCAAACACAATCAAACCCAAACAAAGCCCGAAGCTGGGGGGAAAACCACCCTAATGTACATTCAGCGGGTGATGCCGCATCTGTGGGAGGGGACGCCGGCGAGGCCGAAGGGGAAAAAGCCGATGGCGCATCAATCAGCGCGAGCTCCTTCCACAGGTGGGCAGGGAGGCCAACTCCACTTAGTTGCAGCTTGGCAGCCTCCTCTGCGGAGCAGCGCGCAACGACAAGTCGGCGGCGTCGTGGCTGGCGAGGGAGGAAGCTCGGGGTGCCAGCGGCAGGGGGAGGCGGCCCCGGGGGCGCCCTAGAAGCAC